TCTGCGGATACCTTAAGGCTGTGTGTTAAGTAAGAATGATGTTTTTGGTGCGTATTGGGTGGGGAAGGAGGCGGTGGAAAAAGAGACGTTTCATTCACCAGAAAAACGTTGATGTATTTTCTGTTTTAAACACTGGACATTTATTTGGAGTCTTTAGAGCCCATACATTATCGAATAATTTTAATTTATCACATCCAAATATAATAGGCAAATATATAATACAATAAATTGCATTTGTACACATAAATACAAAATTTGAGGTAGGGCCTCAAGAATAATGATTTCTCAAATTAATAAACATACAGCTTTATAATACGTACTATATGAGATATATATGATGCATCCTTTGTAACATAATATATCTTCTCCACGTATAGCTAATGAAAAAATTATAATGACCTGGTTAGGGTACAAATCTTTATCCATAGGCAGCAGTACCCCATAGAATGCCTGTAAATATATATATATATTTATATATGACATTACGCAAGTAATTAAGATTTAACCCATCAGCGATGGGTCCATAATAAAGTGCCATAGGACACAGGGCGCAAATTCTCAGCTGGTGTAAATTGTCACAGCTCCAAACAAAGCTGTAGCAATTTATACCAGCTAAGCATCTACCTTACAAGGTAATACTACATAATATAAATGACAGATAACAACATGTTTTAGTCGATCGATAGTTTTCCTAACAATGGAAGATAGCTATAAGGCAAATGGTTACCTGAAGATGTATTTAAACATTATGGGCAAATAATAATATTGCAAGCAGTAAGGTCCAGCCCGGTTCTCACATTATGTTAAACCCATCAGGAAAACCTTCTCTCTTTGGCGATAGGCTGCCTGAGGGTGACAAAGGCAGAAACCCCAAATACCCGTAACCCTCCCCCCGCAAGTCATCAACCTGAGTCCCTCGGGGATGTCAAGCTCTGACCATTTTACAGATATTTTACGTGCACACCATTTAACTACAAACTAAGAAACAAACGTCTCTTATGGTGGTAATAGCAAAAAACGGCGACACTTTCTGGGACGCCACGTGCCGAAGCTCTGCAGCCCGCTACCCACAATCCCTACAAGTCTGTCTTTAATTGCAAGAAAAAGTGGATCTGCAGAATAAGAAACCAATAGGAAAGCAACATCTGCCGTAAATAAGCAGTTGCTTTAACACAGGCAACAAGAAATCATATTATCCATACAACTGTACATATATTCAAAAAAGAACAAAGGTATTTAAAATAAATCAGGCGTTGGAATTCCATGGTAAGAGACAGCCACACAGTGTATCGGAAGCAATGATCTTCAGTGCTGAGGCACATCTAATGTGGTCAGTGGAGCAGAACCTAATCAAAAGACTACGTTGACCCAATTAAAACATCACATAAAGACAATCCGAGTCTTTTTCAATTAAAGGTCATTTTGTTAAACCCTTCTTTTGGAAACAAAGTGCTGCCACGTCTAGCTGAAACACAGGTTTTGAACATTGCATATTAAAAAGACTAGGAAGACCCAAAGAACTTGAAGATGGCAAGCATTTGCATTAAATATAATCTTTAATGCATACAATAATGCGTCTCAGCTCATCCAGAAATTCGATTTCATTTCAAAGAAAAAATATGCAACATAAGTAATTTCACCAAATTTGAACATTTTTTACTCACAAGATAGATAGATCTGCAAGTACATACATCACATTTTTACTAATATGGCTTTTTCCCCTCCTTTTTTTTTTTTTTTTAAAGATCTTTACTGGTATTTAATTAGTTACTAAATTTATTTTTAGAAAATTATCAAAGTACATGCAAACTTTTCCTAGAACATGGTAAATGAAGTGCATTCCCAAACTTCAAGGTTACTTCTCATTTAAAGAAGACACTGCTGGGTAATTTAATCTCAACATTCAGATTTGCCAGTAAAATACTTTAAAAAAAGGTCTAATGTGAAAAAAAAAAAATCTGCTTTTAGCATACAGCGAAAATGTCACATCTTCTGTGATTTTTTTTTTATATTCGTTTCTCCCCCCTCTCCAAATGTTTTTGCAAGCCTAGTAATAGAGGTCAAAGCTGAAGGCAAATATCAGTGAGAACAAAATCACTGTCATCTGTTTTCAGAGTTTCAAAGTCAAGCCTAATCCTGTGCTAATGACTTAGCAGGCACAGGAACAACATCTAAATTAAAAGCAGGCAGATTAATTACATAAATCAGGGAAAGCAATTCAATTTTTCATATGCATTCTGGTTCGGTAATCCAAGCCAAAGGAAAAAATATCATAATCTAGCAGTATTCCTTCAAATGATATCTCTTTTATACTTAAGGTAGACAGTAACTGACATCCTTACACCGAGGTAATTTTATTGCAATTAGTTAATCCCGGTTCCAATGCATGTCCTGAGACAAGTTAGTAAGTGAAAGGATTCAGAAAACTGTTAAGCGATTTGGGTGTATTTTCTTTTTTTAAAAGAGGAACGAAGCTATGGATTTGTTATTTTACACTAGTAGTGAAAATAAACTAGCCTGGACTCCAAAAATAAAATCAAGATGCTGGGTAATATTGGTAAAGAGAGGCCTAAAGCTATTTATCCTGATAAAAACACATCATTCCCACTAGAGGTGCTGACTTAGGTCCCTTTCTTCACCCAGAGAAGGCCCCTCAGCCCCACGTAGACGTGAGGGGCACATTTCCAGCTCATCTTTACGCACCTTCATTACTCCAAACAGAGCGTGGCTTCTCCAACCTGCCTCTGCCAGGAAAATAAAAGCCAGAAGTAAGAATAGCCACCCCTCCCCCCTTATTAAAAACAGCAGGCGAAGCTGGCACCGGGGAAGGGGGGCACAGCTTTAAGGCAGAGAAGCTCACGGAAGGGTCCCGTCTGGCTGCAGTGTGAGACGGGGACCGGCAGAGCCCCCCGAGTGGGGATTCGGGGGTCAGCACAAAATATGGCAAAATCTGCCCTCCCCTGGCTGGGTGACAACCCCTGATGGCGCTTCGCTTGTCCCGCCTGAGGATTAAAGGTCTCCAGCAGTGCCTAGAACTGGCAACACTAATTGCCCCGTGAAAGAGGAAGTTCAGCAAAATGATTAATATATTTAATATACATATATATATACACACAGAGAGAGAGAGAGAGAGAGAGAGAAAAGAAGTTAACGATTCGGTGGAAGTGTGACGTTAAGGTTTAGGTTTTGTTTTGTTTTCTTCGACGGGATGAAACAACACCTCTACTGATCTACGGACACACATTAACTGAAGATTTACCTGAGACCCTGTAATATGAAGACAGACAGACAAAAGAACGGGATAGAAACAGTCCCCTGAAAGGAAAGAACATTTACCGGCGACTGCAGCAGTATGTGTGGGGAAGGAAAAAACAGGCTAAACTACTCTAAGCTCACCATCTCTACACTGATTGATAAGATATTTATAGGGACAGAAAACATCACTAGTACACACTACATGAACACCGATCACCGTTAAAAAATATCATATATGTATGTATAGGATATAACAAGATAGTAAAGGTTACAGTTTTGCCAATTATGGAAGATATATTTTTCTCCCTCATTCTAGTGCATTTACAATAAATTGGGCTAATTTTCTATTCAGGTAAATAAATGTACTCTTAAAAAGCTCTATTTTTACTCTGCCCAATAGGTATCAAAACTATTGAAGTCTAACATTCCTATCACCGCTTGTATCTGATTTCTAAAATGTAATGATTTACAATGTCCTGTTGCTCCACGATGTTATAATGGCCATCTACTAAACTGTCCTCTCCCCCCAACCCTCGCATTTTCTATATCTAATGTTGCATCCGTATGGATGACTGCAGTGGGTAATCGCTGGGTTTTTTTGGTTTTTTATTTAATGAAAATGTTTTAAATGAAAAAAAAAAACCACCTATGTACATTTCAGAGAGAATACTGCTTTGAAGAATTTACGTGCTATATATATAATATATAGACAAGCGGGGTTCTGCTATTTCCCCATCAGTTGAAAGAGAAGAATACATCTAAAGATTATATAAAGATGTTCATAGGAGAATGAACGGGGAGTCACAAAGTTGAACAGCACATCTAACTTCTAATAACTGTTGTCAGGTGGTAACTAGACTACACTTACCACTGTAAGAATACAAAGTTAGGCACAAATTATATGATGGCTTCTTGAGGAGATACTGTAAACAAAAGCAGAGAAACAAGGAAAACTGTGTTCAGAGTATCGGAGCGAAGTGACTAAAACCACAGTTGCGCTTAGTGTGGGGCAAGGTTTCAGACACTTCTCATAACCGAGGCATTTTTAATTGAAATGACAAATAGCAAATTCTCAAAAGAAACGTTATGACGGTACTTTGAACAGTGATGCCCATACACCTCAGTCTCGCACCATTCCCAAACCACTTCTAGACTCAAATGCAGTTTAGTCCCAGTCTTAAGTAATTACTTCTTTAATTTTTACTTTTTTCTACTTGAAAACTGTCAATGTAGGCAAAGTCACCCCGCCTACCGCGTGAGCCTTATGCTGGATTTATACCAGCACTACAGGACAACCCCTTTGCTCACTTCCATCCCATCCGAGGGCTGAACTTCCCTTGGATTACACGGGTAACAAAATCCTCGTCCTAATCACAGCTACCTGTTACAAGGATGCTTGTGTGAAACGGGTCAAATTATGCACATAATTTCCTTAAGAGATTTTTTTTTTTCCATTGTGGTTTTTTTTTTTTTTTATTCCTACATCACCTGACAAAACCTGGTACGTCACCCGTTACGCAGTACATTTTTCCTGTCTCACCAGGTGCAGAACAGGGCATGGGCATCACCTGCACCTGGAAGTGGTCTAGCTAGGTCTTCCCTATGGCATGCAACAGTTAGTCCTACTTTCCTAAGCAACCACTTTCAGGCACTGCGAAAAAGAAAAGAAGAAAAAGCGAGGAAAGAAAACGGGGGGGAGGAATCAGAAAAGGCTGACAATGTTATTGCCACCCATGTAATAGTCATTAGCATTGGGTCCCCAGCTCTATATCCTTCACCGGCAGTTTAAGTCCCAGGGAAGAGGTTCCCAGTGGATCGATCATATTCATGTAACGTTCACCGCGGTGCTTGGCCAAAAACGGACCCCAGTCGGGCTGTGGAGAGCACACCAACTTGAGTCGCTGCAATGTGGGGGAGAGAAAAAGAGAGTCTCATTCGAAGTTACGAAGCGGAATGACAGTGCAGAAGCAATGAGGATGGGCTCATTTGAGATTATTGATAGTGGCCCTGCAATGCTCTGCTGCTCAGTGTTTGTTTTGCACAAAGTTTGCAAGATTAATAGAGGATAAAGTGCCCAGATTTTAATTATACATTCTCCTGCGCACCATGTGAAGGGAGAACAGAACCACCGCTACAGATTGTGCAGCTCACTTACTGAAGGACATGTGCACAATTACTTAGCCCAATGGTCTAAGCAGTGGGTAACTGCATTAAAATAATTGGATTTCTGTTTAGCATATTTCCCCAAAGTATACAAATGACCAAAAAGAAGTACATTGCTATGAATGAACAAAGATTTTAATTTTAAGATGACAAAAATGTTTCATTTCTATCTGCAGGAAAAAAAAAGAAAGAGAACGTTAACCTGGAAAACAACAAAAATCTTCTAATCTTTCCGCTGATTTCTTTATTGAATATATAATTTGATTGGCGCATTTACAGATAAAAAGGAAAGAAAACATATTTCTGATGACTTGAGAGGGAACAATTATATGTTTATTACCTAATAAAGTGAATCAGACCTCTATATCAGTTATTTTAATCTCTGCTTAATTACCAGTTTGCAACTCTTACCTCCCAAATCAACCATAATAATTTTATGCAGCAGACTCAGTATTGAAGAAATACCGAGCTACGTCTGGAAGAGCTTCAGCAAAAGCCCCTTCAAAACAGATCCAAGTTTTTGCTGTTTCTTTGGGTGCACCACTAGAGAGGGTCAGTAAGGAGAGCACCCTATTTTTGTGACAACGTATATACCAGTACTACACATAGAAGTTAGAAGATTTGAGGCAGAACAACTTGTCCCAATGAGAGAAACTGATGAGACGGTAAACAGGCACGTTTAATTTAACATTAGCTCATTTCCAGTAGGAGCAGTTGTCTCCTGACCTATGCGCTCCAACGTGCTCTACACAAGGGCTGAGTGGCCCTTTAGACAAGTGGCCTCGTTGCCTGCTGCCAACGGTGCAGATGCTCTCCCTAGGGTGTCCCACCACTTAATATTAAACTCCTTTCCTCCGCGTGAAGCAGAAAAGCGTCGTCTTTTCCCTCAGGCATGTGTAGCGCGACATATTGAGAGACCAAAAGATTATTCTATTTTAGTACATTTTCTCTCCTTTTCATTTTTGAGGCGTGTAACAGCCCCGACGGGTTTTGCAGGAGAGCTGAAGAGGGGAGGCGAGCGTCTGCTCCGCATCACGAGGCGGGAGCAGCACAAGCAGTGTGCAGTGAGGAGGAGACAGAACCGAGAAAGCCTCAAAGACCAAAAATGAGGCCACCGAACTTCTTCAGCTAACAAGGTGAACGCAACAAAGGGATGAAATGCCGACAGGAGAAAGACATCGCTGTACCGGGCCCTGCAAGGAGCTGAGGAGCCAACAGGATGGGAAGAGCCAGGGAGCGGCTCCACCATCCCTGGAGGTATTTAAAAGAGAGGTAGATGTGGTGCTGAGGGAGATGGTTTAGTGGTGGACTTGGCAGTGTTAGGTTAATGGTTGGACTCGATGAACTTTAGGGTCCCTTCCAATCTAGCCGATGCTAGGTGGCAGCCTAGGTGGCAGGGAGGACCAGGGCACAGAGCCAGGGAGCAGAAGGGGACTGCCACGTTTCTGGAGCGGCAGGGGGAAGTGGCAGGATGCCGATTTGCAAAATAAAGAAAAGCAGCATAAAAATAAAGTGCCGCCCGGAATTTTTTGAAGCCCGGGTGTCAGAGACGATCAGCATAGCCAGGAAAAATAGAGATGAAGAAGGAGGGAAAATAAAAAAGATCTCCAGCTAAATTTTATCACAAGCAGTTTGATCTGTAGAGCATGACGTCTTTTCATACGTCTTATTCCCCAACTTCATCAAGCGGCACAACTTCCTGGAGCACATCCCGGATGACTCGGGTACCCGACCATCCCGCACTCCGCAAACAGGCGACTCCTGATTGACGCCACCTGGCACTGAGCACTGGGCTCGCCGTGACAGCTGATGCTTCCCATGGCTCCGTGCTGCTCTGGCGAAAAGGCCAACAGAGCTGGGAGAACAACTTTCTCTTGGTAACACCACACTGGGGCTCAGGAAATCTGTAACCCCTTCCAGTTGTCTCTCTTAACGACTTAAGAGCATTTTTCTTTGAGGAACGGGAAATGGAAAGTCTGCATTTTGACTCAACTGAGCATCTCTTCACAACACAATAACTGGTTAACCAGAAAGGAATCTCAGCGCTATTAGACATTCAATATCACAAAAAAAAAAAAAAAAAAAATCAATGTAAAATAAAACCGACAGTCTCCTGTGACTGTATTTTTAAGCAGAAAAAAAAAAAAAAAAAAAGGCAGAAGCGTTACCTCAATAAATTTGCCCGGGGCGAGATGCATTTTTATCACAAACATCACCGGGATCCAGATCACCGAGCAGGCCAGCATCAGCCACCCGAGCACCATGGACCAGCCCGGGTAGTGGTAAGCTCCGTAAGTCATCGGTTCCCATTGGTAAAAACTGAAGCAGAGAATAAACTGGAAACAGGGAAAGAAAACAAATACGTTTGAAGAAGCAAAACGAGACGGTTACGCAGCAAACAGTAGGTATCCACACGCAGAGCTGGTACATATGGAATACAGATAAAAGTGCGTACACCTAAGGCAGAGCGCTGCCACGAGCTGTAATAAACAGGTCAGGGTCTGAATCTAATGAGTTTCAAGGAAATCTTGCAAAATCCCAGAAAAATCACTGTGTTTATGCCAGAAGAACCGAAATGAGATTCTCGCCCCCAGAGTAACGTGCTTTATTACATGGTCTATTGGCAGTTTTACCTAATGTGATTATGCTAAGTTACTCCATTTCACTTACTGTACGAATAGCGATTCAGCTGCTTACATTTGTGCATAATTCAGGAACTTTTGGGAAATGCCCGCGCGCGCAATAATTGCACACAGAAGATTTATAGCGGTATAACTAGGCGAAGGCACGTATAAAAATGATCAGTTTTATTTCCAGAGATGTGGGGTAATTGAAAGTCTAATATTAGACTACCCAAATGTATCAAATATTTGCTTTACAGAGGCAACAACAGAAAAGAATGTATTTGCTTGGGTTCGCATTGTCGGTTTCCATTGCATAAAAATTGAGTTACGACTGATCGGTATCAATTTGTTTCTCACTGTAAGTTCACTAAGTATTACATTTGGAGGGAACAAAAACAGAACGCGCAAGTTTGAACTGACCTCCTTTGCTTTGCAAATTTGCTTCCCCTTAAGAGGCAACGTAATTTCCTATTCCCTGGTTGTGATTAGCAGCAGCGGCTAAGAGTGCAAGGCTGATCAGTAAAAGAACTGAGCAATTTGCAGAAAAGCCTTACAATTCCCTTCAGAGGTGTAACAATGGGTCTAAGGCAGCATCTTGAAAATGGCCGTTGGAAGAAAAAAAACCAAAAAAACCCAGATTAAAAAAAAAGTGCACACACCCTCATGTTTTAGCAAGGTCCTCCAGAGGAAAAAAAAAATGCGTTACCATTTATGTTATCCTAATACTAGAGATTAAACTGGGCTATGTCTTCAAACTTTTAAAAATGGATTTACGACGATACCTATATATTGTCACGATCAAACCACAGTTGCCACTGGATAGGTAAGATAGATCTACCTGGTTTTCCTGCAAAGCAATACTATACTTCCGCAAAGACAATGGGCAGAGGAAAATCTGTGCAGGAAAGTAGCATATCTTCACTATGGCCATTGGAGAAATTGTTGTCATCATAGAAGGTTTCTTTTCCTCGCAACTCAGGATTGTGTTGAGCTCCCCAAAACTCACTAGTCCCCTCACACATGCATCCTGGCTGCAAAAACTAACCCTTTTTCAGTTTTCAGGGGGAAAAAAAATAATAATTACCCCTTTCCTGAATTAACAATACCAAAAAGAAGTTATTAACTTTATCCAGAGCCTTTTTTTTTTCCCCACAAAAATAAAAAGATTTCCCAATGTTTATGCTGCACTAAAGAACAGCACGAACAGGAACCAGCACATGAGCCAAAATACAACTTCTCTGGAAGAAGAGATTGCAAAGGACGATGGAGTCACCAATTTGCTCCTTCAGCCCAGGCAGATGACAAGAGATTGTTTCAAAATGTGTCTCTTAGCAGAAATTCTAGTAACTTTTCTTATCTTGCACCTAAAAGAGCCATTTAGATGTGGTATTGGGGGATATTGGGAGAACTTTGTAGAGTAGGGTAGATGGTTGGACTTGATGATCCCAAGGGTGTCTTCCAACCTAGACAATTCTATGATTCTACGATTCTAAAAATCTACGAATACCTGCAGGAACTATTTAGCACAGCTGCGAAATGATGAGTTTTTAAACCCCTACACAAATACTGACCATTTTGCCACACCAGTGGTCCAGGCCTGGGGATGTTCAGGCTGAAGTAGGTGCTCTCAACCATCACATACCGGTGAAAGACACCTTGGTGGTTTTATACCGACTTACCGGGCTGACGGCTTTCAAAGGGGCAAAAAGGATTATTCCATTCTTGTGCCAAAATACCATCTGCACTCAAAGATTGCATCTGTATTTAGGTATTGAGGTAGATTGTAAATGTAGCTGGAGGGATTACACTTGCACTCTCGGACTTGAAAAAAGATGTGTAGCAATGGTGAAATTGAGAAAGTGCCTTTTTTTTTTTAGATTAAATGGAGATCTGGGTTTGATGTGAAGCCTTATTCCAGGTTTTGGGGTGGATATAAAAATAAAGTTTAAAAAAAAAAAAAGCCAAACAAACAAACAAAAAAATCCACAAAAAAACAACCCCCCACCCCCCAGAAAACCACCTTTCCCTTCCCTTCTTCCCCCTTTCCCTTCCCTTCTTCCCCCTTTCCCTTCCCTTCTTCCCCCTTTCCCTTCCCTTCTTCCCCCTTTCCCTTCCCTTCTTCCCCCTTTCCCTTCCCTTCTTCCCCCTTTCCCTTCCCTTCTTCCCCCTTTCCCTTCCCTTCTTCCCCCTTTCCCTTCCCTTCTTCCCCCTTTCCCTTCCCTTCTTCCCCCTTTCCCTTCCCTTCTTCCCCCTTTCCCTTCCCTTCTTCCCCCTTTCCCTTCCCTTCTTCCCCCTTTCCCTTCCCTTCTTCCCCCTTTCCCTTCCCTTCTTCCCCCTTTCCCTTCCCTTCTTCCCCCTTTCCCTTCCCTTCTTCCCCCTTTCCCTTCCCTTCTTCCCCCTTTCCCTTCCCTTCTTCCCCCTTTCCCTTCCCTTCTTCCCCCTTTCCCTTCCCTTCTTCCCCCTTTCCCTTCCCTTCTTCCCCCTTTCCCTTCCCTTCTTCCCCCTTTCCCTTCCCTTCTTCCCCCTTTCCCTTCCCTTCTTCCCCCTTTCCCTTCCCTTCTTCCCCCTTTCCCTTCCCTTCTTCCCCCTTTCCCTTCCCTTCTTCCCCCTTTCCCTTCCCTTCTTCCCCCTTTCCCTTCCCTTCTTCCCCCTTTCCCTTCCCTTCTTCCCCCTTTCCCTTCCCTTCTTCCCCCTTTCCCTTCCCTTCTTCCCCCTTTCCCTTCCCTTCTTCCCCCTTTCCCTTCCCTTCTTCCCCCTTTCCCTTCCCTTCTTCCCCCTTTCCCTTCCCTTCTTCCCCCTTTCCCTTCCCTTCTTCCCCCTTTCCCTTCCCTTCTTCCCCCTTTCCCTTCCCTTCTTCCCCCTTTCCCTTCCCTTCTTCCCCCTTTCCCTTCCCTTCTTCCCCCTTTCCCTTCCCTTCTTCCCCCTTTCCCTTCCCTTCTTCCCCCTTTCCCTTCCCTTCTTCCCCCTTTCCCTTCCCTTCTTCCCCCTTTCCCTTCCCTTCTTCCCCCTTTCCCTTCCCTTCTTCCCCCTTTCCCTTCCCTTCTTCCCCCTTTCCCTTCCCTTCTTCCCCCTTTCCCTTCCCTTCTTCCCCCTTTCCCTTCCCTTCTCCCCCCTTTCCCTTCCCTTCTTCCCCCTTTCCCTTCCCTTCTTCCCCCTTTCCCTTCCCTTCTTCCCCCTTTCCCTTCCCTTCTTCCCCTTTTTTCCTTCCCTTCTTCCCCTTTTTTCCTTCCCTTCTTCCCCTTTTTTCCTTCCCTTCTTTTCCCTTTCCTTTCCTTCTTTCCCTTTATCTTTTCTCTTTTGCCCTTTTATATTTTCTTCCTCCCCTCCCCCTTTTTTTTTTTTTTTTAGAGAAACCGAAGGGATTTATATTTGTTATCCCGACCAGAACTACGCTGACCTTGGCAAAAAATACCTCCACCTTTGCAGCTAAAACTTTGGCACTCCGATTTCCGCGTCAGCCTTTCCAAAGCACGTCTCTCAGATTGGTTTATGACTCAATACGATGGTTTTCCCCTACCTCAACCTGAGAAAAGACGGGAGGGGATCATATCATTTCCTCTCCCTCTGCGCGTGTATACATACATATGTATATATCGCACACACGCGCGTGTATACAATAATGAAAAATGCCGGTACGTAGTGGTATGCCATACCAGTACTTCGCACAGGCAGGGGAAGGCTACCACGGCAGCATTTGGAGACTCACCATCCCTTCTTTGCCAAAAATACCGTTACTTACGCTCTTTTTTTCTACTACATACACATGCAACAACACGTGCGCCCGTGTGTCTGGGTATCTGCATCCAAGATTTAATTACTACCCTTCAGAAACATCACGACTGATGAAGAAACGACAACGGAACTCTTTGGAGAAGACATTAAAGAAAAAAATTTTGCTTACTGTTAAAATAGTCGGGGTCACAAATGCCCAACAGACTCTCCAGAATTTACTTGGCTGGAATCCAATCATCATTTCTATATCTTCGCAAAATCTCTGCAACCCTGTAAACAGCAAACGCAAATGCAATTAGGTGTGAAAAGAACCAGCTGCAGTTAGCAACATAGCTCTTGTGATCTCCCCTGTGCCCAATTATGAAAAACAAACTCTGACTTGTTGGTTGAAAACTTCAATGGAGGGTCTAACCACACGGTGAAAAATGAGACTAATACAGTGGGAACCATTCTAATAAAATATTTACTTCCTAAAGATTAAAGCAAAATTGAGCTTTTACATAGAGATTAAGTGTTCAGTATGTTCCGGGTTAAAGCATTAACAGTGCGCACTGGTGAGCTGCAATTATGCGTACGCTTGTTAGAGCTTGTTGCAGCGGACATATACGCTTGTTACGTGTACCTTGACAGGACGAGGGGGAATGGCTTCAAACTGGAAGAGGGAAGATTTAGATTAGATATTAGGAAGAAATTTTTCACTCTGAGGGTGGTGAGCCCCTGGCGCAGGTTTCCCAGAGAAGCTGTGGCTGCCCCATCCCTGGAGGGGTTCAAGGCCGGGTTGGACGGGGCTTGGAGCAACCTGGGCTGGTGGGAGGTGTCCCTGCCCACGGCAGTGGGGTTGGAACCAGATGGTCTTTAAGGTCCCTTCCAACCTAAATCATTCTGTGATTCTATATTTCACTGTGAAGATGAACCTTATTAATATCAGTAGATGTGTTCCGGCACAGACAATATCTGAGCTTCTCTACACCTGCTACGTGACTGGGGTACGACTGTACCACTTCGCACCAAAACTGCTCACGTCCTGCTATTCTTCATTTGATCCGTAAGCAATACTTAGAATTATTAGAGAGCACCCGTAAATATTTTAAATTCTACTCAATGTTGTTTGAACACACAGATCGACTGACATGTTGATTCTTCAGATTATTGTATTGATTGCATCTATAAAGCTACTTGAGTTAATAAAACGGGCAAAATTGGAAAATCGGTGTTTCAGCTGTCTCCGCAGCTGCCTTGCTGGCCACGGCTTGTGGCTGGAAAGGTGTGCTGGCCCACCAGCGGCTACTGCCCGCATGGAAAAAGCCCATCTGCTTTCCTGCCTGGTTCTGCAGCACTGGTGAGGTGAATGGCCCCTACTCAGCAGAGCCGTTAGTCATTTATCCAAAAGTACTAAGAACAAAATTGAAATGTGTTCCAGCTTTTCTGAAGAGGATAAGAAGAGGGAGGGCTGGGGACAAGGCTGAGCTTCTCCATCGCGCAAACATCTCCAATTTGGGCCAATTTGTCATTTATTTTATCTAATAAAGCAGACGATCGTCTCTGCCATTTAAATTTTACAAAGCATTATTCTACAGCGTTTAGTCTAACTTTTATGACGCGGGGACAGGAGTGGAGCTCAAATATTGGAGAGAAGTCATTGAGGAAGGGAGGAAACACTTGAAACAAAAGTAATAAACTACTGTATGTTCTTATCGCCCTCATAGCCAGGTGCTGCGGCCGCTGAATAGAAGAAGGGATAATCCCCAGGCTTGATCCACCTAATTTTGAAGCCTTTCTGTTGATGTCAAGGAAAACTAAATCTATCCACCAGGCTCTTCCCAGAATTAAGGAGGTAAAAAATGGCAATGGCTCAATATTCGGCGTCTTCTGGAGCACCTCCAGGGAAGCAGCAGGGCTGGACGGTGCCGGGGCAGCTCTAATGCCCGGCTCAGAGGGCGAGCACAGTGTAAGCCAATTCAGGCAGACAGCGTGTCAGAGGAAAGCTAAAAAAACCCCATGTTATGATAAGAAATAGAGGAGAAAAATTGAGAAATTAAACAAGAAAATGATACTGCAAAAACTGCGCTGGTTGGGGGGTGGGATGACTACAGCCCGCAGGGGATGTAAGCTTGGAAAGCCAACCCAAGGGCACCCAGATGTCACTTTTTTTCCTGTAACTGTAATATCCCTCTCTCCTTTTCTCTTTTCCACGGTTAATGCTCTTCTTCAGAAAGCCTCTTATCTTCTCTGGAAAATACATGTAATTTTGACAACCCATGGAATCACCGTATTTCAGCATCCGTCAGACTCATCACGCATGTCTCCATTTTGTAATAGAGCTTTTATGCCTGGACTGACCGTAACCCTACGGCTCTCAGCGTTACAGACCCCAAAGGAGACCTTAGCCCCAACGGAATCATTTCACGTGTTTTCTTTACCTGCCTATTACAGTTCGGCGC